ATAAATATAATCTTTAAAAATATATATATAAACATTGAGCTATGTATTGGCAGGGCTTTTAACTTTGAAGCAATTTTAAACAAAGAAAAAAATTTTCTGTTTTAGCTTATCAGCAAGGTGCCTGCCTGCTGGAATGAACCAGATGTATCCAGACAAAGATAAAATGCTGAGGCTCGTATGTGAGTCAAAGGCACAGATCAAAGCAATGAGTGAAGATCCACACTAAAGCCAGCTTGAGACATTAAGTCAATCCTAGCTAAGCAAGTCATTAGTATCCTAGTGAAAAAGAATGGATAATAAACACCAGAACCATATTATCACTAGATACATATATTTAGACTTGAACTAAATATTTATAGTAGTAGTAGTCTGTTTACAACATGGATTCACCTTTCATAGATTTACTGCCTGTGTAATGTGGTACAATCTTGGTATTGGGATATTTAAAAACTTCCAGATGATTCTAATGTGTGGTACAATCTTGGTATTGGGATATTTAAAAACTTCCAGATGATTCTAACGTGCAGCCTTATTTAAAGAGGTACCACTCAGTTTAGAAGAAGTATTCCCAAAAGCTAAGCCAGAGTAACTTAGTAAAAAATTAGAAATATTATAGTCATCATGAAACTAAAAGTGTTACTGGTAAAATCTACATACTATGCTATTTCTAGGCAATGGTGTGCTCATAAGTAGATCTCTTGATTGTTTTTATGCTTATATAAATAACATTTTTAATAAATTTAGCCACATGGTCTGTAAATCAATATCAACAGCTCTGAGATCTTGTGAATTCTCTTCATTTTGAGGTGTAATGAAGTAACCTATTTGAGCATCATATATGTTACTAGGTAAATAATAATAACAAAAGACATTTCTTTAGGGCTTTTCCTATGCCAAAGACATTACATATTTTAATTTATCTATCCCTCACAACTCTTTGAAGAATGTTCTATTATTATCCTTATTTTTACAGTGAAGGAGCTGAGAGGCAGAGAAGTTAAGTAACTTGCCCAATGACACACAGCAAGTAAGCAGCAAATTGGAAACTGAACTAGGTAGTCTGATTGCTCTTAGCCCCCATGTTCTACCAAAAAGAGCTTTTTGTTCTATCAAGAAGAATTGAGAATCAAAATTATATTCTAGACTGTTTCTGAATACTGCAGAACTCTAGCTCCCTCCCCTACTTCTGGTTGTTCGAAAATCTTTTCAAATCTAGCAACATGTAGCACCTGCTGAAATGATCATTTTGTCTTTCTCATTATCAGTGCAGTTCTACTTTTCCTGTTCCAAAAACAGAAACTGCTTATGACTTTGGTATAATAGAGCAATTATGTTTATTGAGGAATACATTTTATTGCAAGTCGTATTATTACAACCTCTAAAAATAGCACCACAGTTTTAAAACTCTCCTTTTTTATGGGTTTATCTGGCTGGAGCAAAAAAAAATAAATTAAAAAACCACACCTCGGTTATGATGCCTCTCAGACACGTGTTGATCAAATACCCAGGGGCAGAGAGGGACTTGGCCAAATGTGGCTAAAAAAAAATATTTTTTTTGGTTGTAAATAACTTTAAACTTGTAGAAAAGTTGCAAAACCAAATTCTTACAAAGAAAAGACATATTAGCTTCTAGTCAGATTTGTCTATTAAGTTTTACCCGCGTTTGCTTTATCAATTGCTCTCACTAGTATATATACACGCAGACAAATACACATACTTTTTTTCAGTTTTTTAAAGTAGATTGCATATATTATGGCCTATTACCCCCAATACTCCAGGGTGTATTTCCCAAGAATAATGATATTCTCTTGTATAAATCCCAGTACACTTCTAACCTAATTTGCCTCTATATTTCAATTTGTTTTTTACTGGATTTAGTCATCACATATTTTGAATGTAACTTAATCTAGAAAATTTCCACAGAGCCTTTCTTTGACTCTTATGACAATGACATTTTTGAAAAATTTGACCAACACCAACCTCCTCCTCTTTTTCAATAGAACATTCTTCATTTGGAATTTGTCTCATGTCTCCCCATGATTAGGGGAATCCCTACGCACAGATAGGGATTCTGGACTGAAAGACTACATAAGTGATGTTCCTTCTCAGGGTATCACATTTGAAAACATAGGTTCTTCCGTCCCTCTTTGGCGATGCCAGGGGTGATTCTCCAGTCAAGGAGTTGTCTAGTTTTTCCATGGCATAAACTGTTTTTTCCACTAATAACTAATGAGCGGTCTGTGGAGAGATACTTTAAGACCAAAGTGATATCCTTCTCCTAATCTAAATTTCCCTCTAGATTTAGCATCTACTGGCAATTCTTGCCTGAGCCAATATTTACTGTGATAGTTGGAAAATGATGACTTTCCATTTCTAGCACTCCTTCCACATGTACTGGTCAGCCCACAGCATTCTGCTATAAAGAAGACTCTTCTCTTTCTCCCTATTATCGTTATGGATTCATGGATCCTTATTTTTCCTTCCATGGTTTATAAGTTATGATTTTCTTTTCAATTATTTTATTTTTTCAAACTGTTGCTGTTTTAACTAAGGGAAGCACCTCCAAGCTGGCTTCCATATTTTTGGTATTCTTCTATTATTTTTTTAAACACTTCCATCCTTTCTGATGTAACAAGATATTTCAGGCTCATCTTGTAACTACCCTAACCCCACATTAGAATTAGTTGTTTCTCCAAGGAACTCTCAGTCCTTTTAGTGGGTAATGACATTGGACACCAAAGTCTGGGAAGCAGGTGGATTCATTCCTACTGAAGTGTCATTGCTTCTAAGCTCTTTGGGCAGATAGATCTGGGAAATACATGGGTGTATATACACATACACATAAATACATGTATATATATATATATATATATATATATATATATACCTCATAAATGCATTTGCAGACATGCATGTACAATTACATACACATGTGCACATATATATACACATGCCTTAGAAACCACAAATTTACATCTATCTCAATCCACTCTCACATGATTCTTTCTTGCCTCCCTCATTCCACAGTTGCATGTTCCTCTTCCACAGTGAAAATCCTGGCCCCTAAAACACTAGCACATTTGTCATTTGCTCAAACATACATCTGAAAGAGTTTCATTATTACTTGGGCACAGTAGTCTCTATTCCTGCCTGTCAAAAATCAACTAGACCCAGTAATTCAATGGCCAGTTATTGACCCAAAAGGAAGGAACTCATATGTCCCCCAACAACCTTGTATGAGAATGTTTACAGCAGCTTTATTCATCAAAATATGTTTGGCCAAAACATTTTGGCCAAAAATATTTGGCCAAAACCTGGAAACAGCCCAACTGTTTTAAGAGAAGAATGGATGAGCAAACGGGGTTATATTCACGCAACAGAACACTACATAGCAATCAAAGAGCAAACCGCTGCTGCGCACAACAATGTGGATGAATTTCAGAAACACTACGCTGAGTTTAAAAAGGCAAACAGAAAGAACACATAATGTATGACTCCATTTATATGAAATTCAAGAACCGGCAAAAAATAATCTCTAATGGTGCACTTTTAGAGATTTTATGAGAAACAGACATGTTTCTAATAGCCAGGTGTGGCCAAGGAGACAAAATAGAGTAAAGGTTTAGCAAATGACCTTTCTTCATTCTCTACCACTTTGGGGCTTCGCACAAGTTACTCTATACTCTTTCTTCTTTTATAAACTGGAGATAATAATAGTATCTACCTAATAGGGTTGTTGTGTGAAATTACGTTAAATATGGCAACACGGCATGTAAATCGTCTGGTAGAGAGTCAATGAGCTTGGCACACATAAAACATACAGTAGCTGTTAGCATTGGTATAGGACCTGTGTTTGTACATTGCCCTTCACAGGTATACTGCTGGTCCCTCATCACTAACAATGCTCAGGAAAGCAATACAGAAATATACATCGGGTTTTCCATATTCTTTGACTTACTAATCCCTCTCCTAGAAAAAGTATCCAGCACAATCAGATACATGCATGAAGGTAATTTTTGCAAAATAATGTGATAACTCCAAACTGGGTTAACTTAAAAATAAAACCATTACATTATAGAATCATAGTAAATTATGGTATAGCACCTGTTGAAATGTGGAAGAATCTTTGTTAAACTCACAAAAAGCAGAAGATAAAACAATATGAGCTCTGTGGTTGCAGATGAATACGATATGTTCGTGTGTACAAGTGATGGCTCATACTGTGTGACCTGGGAGCAGTTGACTTCCTCTTTCAGGCTCTAAAAAATTTCCTGGTTGTCTTTTCATTTAAAAAATGCATACTTTTTTGAATTAAAAATAACCTTTCTTTGTATAAAAACCCACACATTTAAGAAAAGTATAATGGAAAACCCAAATGATAGAAGCCAAATGACTACTTGCTTCTGGTGGCAGTGGGAGAGGGCAGAACACTGACTAGTAAGAAGCCTGAGAAAACTTTCTGGGAGTAAGGAAATGTACCATTATCTTGATCAAGATGTGAGTTATATGGGTGCGTGCATTTGTCACAATAGATTGAACTCTACCCTTAATATCTGTGCATTTCACTGTCCATAGGGAGTAGAGGCTGCCCTCTGCCTGAACTAGAACTTTGATTTAAAACAATCCCTTCTTGTAGTTTGTCTCACTTCCCATCTTCCTCCCCGTTGACTTCCTTTTACGTTACTTGCTTTACTATCCTTTCGATATACAAAGTACAACATAAGTTAGAATTTCACAGCTAATTAAATGACATTATCAACTATTTAGCTGTGGCCAATATACATACTTTAATACAGAAAGGAAATGCATGCAAATTGAAAATGTTTAAACAACACTGAATTTTAGATTAATCCTCACTTTAGGCCTTAACCTATCTCATCTATTAAGACAAAAGCAAAAACAGAGAAACAAATTGCAGAGCAGTTGGGGCCTCGCCAATGAAAACTGTTGATTTCCAACATAAAATGATCAAATATCGCTTCAATGAGGAAATGATTTTCTCAGACCTTCTCATAAATTCTGGTGCAGACCACGCCCTTCATTTTACATTCCTTGAGAAAAAAGAAAGATTCATTGAGTATCTAAAACTCAAACTAGGGAACAACAAATTTGCACATAGCAACAGAAGATAAAAACAAGCTCATAAGATTAAACTTAGAAAGGAGTAGAACATCAGTATGTCAGTCTCTGGCATTTGGAATTATGACCATCGAAACAGGAGAAGCAGTTTCGACATCATTCTATGTTACTATGTGGAAGAATTTTCTTAAAGTGACAAGTTTTTATGCATAATTTGCGTGCATTTAAATTCACTAAAAGTGGATTTCAAAACTATATGCATATTTGCATCATCTGAGGAACATTTAAAAATACTGATGGTTCCTTCTCTCCCAAGAGATCTGCATTTAATTAATCTGTGTTGAGAGCCCCATACTGGTGTTAACTCCCCATGCAAATCTACTTTGTAGCTAGGGATAAGAACCTCTAAACTAAAGGGAAAAAAGAGCGTTTAAAATGACATGAGTCTATGTTCAATGTATGTGTTAGTAAGCACAGAAGCTAAAACAAGAAAATTGCTAGATGTCATCACACGTAACCCTGGTCATTACTCTTGATCTGCTGACTAAAAGGTCTCCCATGAGCTGAGCTTAAATCACTAACATGGTGGAGTCCAAGTTACTTTGAATTCTTGGAAGCAAAACACTCAGATACCTACAAATATTATGTAATTGAGCCGTTAAGCAGGGTTTGTTTTGCTTTTATAACTTGGACTTGCTTTTCTCTTTGTGAGTCCAAAATAGGGAGATTAGCCATCCTTTCTTTGACTTACTGTTATTTTACTTTTGGTGTTGTTACTCCTAAAATAACACATGAGCTTTGTTGTTTCTAAAATCTTGGATCTATACTTGAAGTGCTATAGAGGAGTCTTCAGGGCTGAAATATTGTCTAACCACTAGTTCTGACTTTATTCTTAGCCATTCTTTTCCATGGGTATTGCAAAGAAAAAAGAATACTTTGAAAACAATGTAACCAATTTCCCTATTTAAATACCATTATTTTTGTATTTAGAAGCAAAAATACTCTTACCACTACCATTTTCCCATCCACCAGCTTTCTTTTTATTGTCGTCTCTTTGCCATCCCATTTCTGCACTTGATTCAATGAGCCTCTTGACAAGGTCACGACGCTCTGCAATGACAAGCTCACATAATTGAGTTGCTTGGACCGTAGTTGATTAAAGAAGCAGTTCATTTGGTATCGAACTGTTTTCATAATAGACGTCTCATGAAGAACATTCATTTTCAATTCAATTTAATTTAATTTATTTTTTTTTTAGAGTAGGCTCCACACCCAATGTGAGGCTCAAACTCCCAGTCCTGAGATCAAGCAAGGTGCCCCCAAGGCACATTCATTTTTTTTTATAAAGATTTTATGTATTTGACAGAGAGAGCACGCACATGCGTGAACACAAGCAGGGGGAGCGTCAGGCAGAGGGAGGAGCAGGTTCCCCACTGAGCAGGGAGCCCGATGCGGGGCTCAAACCCAGGACCCTGGATCATGACATGAGCCAAAAGCAGATGCTTAACTGACAGAGCCACCCAGGTGCCCCAATTTTCAATAGAATGGCATAGTCTACCCTTTTGAATACTAACAGGAAGTATCTTCTCAAGCCGGAGAATGAGCTAACTTTGAAGAGAAACATTAAAATTTACCTTTGTTTTCCTGTTGTCGGCTGTGGTTTCTTCAAATTCCTGACCTAACTTAAAGGAGATCTCTGTATTTTTAAATGTACTCTCAGTCCTTATAGTTATAATATCCCCTTTCTTGCTGATGATCACACGGGGTTTGGCCAAATTTCCCAGTTTTCTGGTGGCTAACCCCACACCTGAAAATCAAGAGAGTGTTAGAATTATGTTGACAAGGAGATGTATCTGTAGAAACTATGCATGGCCACATTCTATTCTCACTTGTTCGTCTGGTGTGGAGACGGTGCGTAGTATCACTGACTACTGAGGACCTCCTCCCATGTTTCACCATCTAACGGAAATGCGTGTCCATCAACTTAAATATTTTAAGTTTATTATTACAAGAGTAATATCTGCAGATTTTATTTTTTTAAAAGATTTTATTTATTTATTTGACAGACAGAGATCATAAGTAGGCAGAGAGGCAGACAGCGAGAGAGGTGGGGGGGAAAGCAGGCTCCCCGCTGAGCAGAGAGCCCAATGTGGGGCTCGATCCCAGGACCCTAGGATCATGACCTGAGCTGAAGGCAGAGGCTTTAACCCACTGAGCCACCCAGGTGCCCCTATCTGCAGATTTTAAAGATAAACATGTTTAACTTAAATAGTGCAAGTTAACCCCTTTTACATCTAATCCCACAGTCTTTGAAAATCACCAGTGTTTTGTATGAATCATTGCAGACATTTTAGTTTTTTACATATAAATACTATAGATGTCCTTTTTTAAAAATTTTTTTTATTTTTTATAAACATATAATATATTTTTATCCCCAGGGAACTATAGATATTCTTAAAATGCAACTATGACAGATACACACTGTTCTTTGATTTTTTTTTTCTCTTCAGTAATATATTGTGGATATAGAAAAGAACTCTCCCCACATCCTTAATAGAACCCTATTTCTGAGATTTTATTGTGGCCCCTAAATTAACTGGTGGGAAAAATCTATCCATCTCCTTTCAAGATCTCTATCATTACATGTAATCGTAAATAAACTAATTTTTAAAAATTTTCCTTGTTTGGAAAAAACCACAAAATTAAACTTTCAAGTTTTATTACTACTATTATTAAGACTATAGAAATACTTGGAAAAGGAGAAATGTCAAATGAGAGCAATGAAGGGAAAACTAGTTTCATGTATATATATGAAAATATATATTCTATATAATCTCCGCAGTAGAGCCTGAGAACCTACACTATATTGAACCCTGAGGTGAACTTATGCATTCTAAATTTGAAAATGATAGAATTAGGGAGTCTGTCATTGAGGCTCTTGTATTTTTCTTCTTCCTCAGCTGTAAAGTCAAATCCTTAAGTCTAACCAACCTCATGGTACGGATCTGTCCCCATAAGTTCTCATAGTTTTCTAGGCAACATAACATGATTTTGCTCGTTTTACCTAAGAATACAACTCTTCTCATAAGCTTTCTATGCAGGTAAGTAAAATTACAGGCCCTTTGTCAAGCATAGAAACCTGGGTCATTAGCACCACTTTCGATTATATTTATATAGCTCTGGAAATTTCCAAAGACAATTCATACCTGTTGTGCTCATATCATGGAACATTCCTAGAAATAGTATAAAATAAAGTTGATAAAACTAAGGACTGGATTTTCCATCTTCATACATCGCTCCAAATACAGGAAAGTCTGATGTTAGCTTAACAGAAATTAGTGTAAACGTCTGGTTTAGCTAAACACCAAAATTTTAAATTGAGGTTTTTTATTAACTTTAGTGTTTTCAATTCCTTATCTTATAAGCATTTCAGCTGTTATAAAACGAACCAGAGGATGGGTTGCCTAAGCCTCTAGGATTTCTTTCTCTGAAAGCAAAGCCCTACTGATACAAAACTACCTTTGAAATCAGTGGGAGCCCCACACAATTAAGCAGCTCTTAGGTCTATTAAAATTTCCACAAATGAAATGCAATAAATTATTGGAATGACAAAAGAGATTAATTGCAGGAAAGGATTATAATTCAGTCTGTGCAAACTTCCCCAGAGTCCTAGAAAAGGAGTTAGAAGGAAATAGGCATGCAGCTTTCTCAAAAAAGGATCTTCTCAACCAGAGCTACAAGAAACATTTCTTACCCAGAGCTTTCATGTAATCATCAAAGTGCTCACTGGAGACAAGTTTCCAAGTGCCCAAGAATTTGTTGCTCATTGTGATGGAGGAGAATTCAACCCAGTTCTAGATGAGATTCAGGAGACTCAGATGCTGAAGCCTCAGAAGATTCTTTTCAAAGATGTCCAAAGCATGTGACTCTCACAGAGACCCAATGGGGAAAAGCAGTATCAGGACTGGGCAATGAATCATCCATTGGGACAAAAGAAACCCCCACATAATGTTTCCTTAGTCTCCAAAAAAATTTTTTTAAAGATCAATGAGAACACTATTTGAACCTTCAAAAAAAATTTTGGTCAATCTTACATTTTTAAGAAGTGCTTAGTCTTTAATGCTTTGGAAAAGACTCCATGAATTGAATCGTATACCAAACTAAATTATATTAGCGTGAATGAGTGTGTGTGTGTGTGTGTGTGTGTGTGTGTTTAGGCATCTTAGTCACTCTCAATCCTGAGTCTGCACAATTAAGAATTCTTATTGAAAGAGAAGAAAGAAAGGAAAATGTCCATGAGTATTGTGATAACTGCCTCAAATATGTTGTGGGAGAGAAATGCAGGGAAGCAGTGTGAGGAAGTATTCATAGGTAAGGGAGTCTTGGCATAGTTCACATATCCCAGGCAGGCAGAGTAGGCAGACAATACGGTCAGTCTATTACAGCAGAGCACAGAAATTGTATTCATGGGATGGATAAAAAGTAGCGCTGGAACATGATGTGGCTTTGGCACAACAAAGATTTTCATCTAAAAAAAAAAAAAAAACCTTAAGTCCAAATTAAGCAGGTTCTTAGTTAATACGACAATTTTGAGTTTAAGCCCTTTAAAATAAATCTTCAGTTTTATAAAGAGAAGGATTTTCTATATAAAGAATACTAATGTATACTGAGAGGTCGTTGTGGGCCAGTCACCATGCCAAGTGCTTTTTATGGATTATTTCATTTAATTCTCTCAATACCTCCAAGAGTTAAGTACTATTATTACATCCATTTTACCATTGAGAAGTTTAGGTAACTTGCTCCCAGGACTTGAATGAGGAGAGGCAAGGTTTGGACGTGGCCTTGTTCTCTAGCCCGGACTCAGGATTATTATCTTACATTGCTCCCTTTATATCACATATGCACAGAGGCCTTGGCCAAAGGTCAGATGATACTGACATCACCATGTGACTAAACAGAGATATTCATTTCTGCCCCCAAATCAAGAGAGGTAAAAGTCAAGAGATGAGGCATACAGGCTACTCTGGTACATCAGAGCCCAAGTCTTTGACTAGAGGGAGCAGATATAAAACCACTTCAAATGTAGGTGTTGCTCCTCAGAATACCTTCTTGCTGCCATAACTTTTCCTAGTGGTTTTTTATATTGCCATCAGTCCTGACTGTGAGACAACTGATATTACTAGGTTGTAAATATTTTTACACAGGTTGGCTCTCTTCACACAATGGAATATTTTCCCATGATCAGTTTGCTCATTAACAGATAGACCTGCTGGCCTCCTGGGCTCAGGTTACCAATGTCATAGGTGAGCCACAATGATTGCATTTATATTGTTAGTGTCCAAGGTGGGTCAAAATATGGAAACATATACTGTGAGTCCAAGTATCACCTTACATTACTCATGCATGGATAATCAAAGTGGGAATGAAACAGTGACTAGAAAATTTCCTCAGTTAAGCAACTAACCCAGTCCTAGACCCAGGAGAATATAACTGGAGGAAGGACATTATACTGGGATAGAAGAAACAGCTATGAAGAAAAAGGGGCTTTTGATTAGAGAATGTATTATTTTCTTTTTTTAAGATTTCTTTATTTGAGAGAGAAAGAGAGAAAGTGGGAGGGAGTGGGAGAGAGAATCTGAAGCAGACTCCACACTGAGTACAGAGCCCGACTCAGGGCTCAGACCCACAACTGTGAAATCCTGACTTGAACCCAAACAGAGTTGGTTGGTTAACTGACTGAGCTACCCTGGTGCTCCAAGAATGTGTTATTTTCTTATCCAAAACACTTAATAAAAATGAATGATGGTATCACTTTTGTCCTCAAAAAAAATTTTTTTGTGACCCTACTTTATTGAGAAGTGTAACATTCAAAATTTAGGAGTTCTGCCTAAATCTGTGAAGGACTCTCAAACCACCCCACTTGAGGCAATCCCTTGGATTCAGAGGGACTGATAAAGGAGAGTGGTATGAATTTTCAGCAGTCCCTGATTGTATGGGCATAGCCGCGGAGTTAAAATATAAACATTGAGGGGCGCCTGGGTGGTTCGGTGGGTTAAAGCCTCTGCCTTCAGCTTGAGTCATGATCCCAGAGTCCTGGGATCAAGCCCTGCATTGGGCTCTCTGCTCAGCGGGGAGCCTGCTTCCTCCTCTCTCTCTGCCTGCCTCTCTGCCTACTTGTGATCTCTGTCAAATAAATAAATAAATATAATCTTTAAAAATATATATATAAACATTGAGCTATGTATTGGCAGGGCTTTTAACTTTGAAGCAATTTTAAACAAAGAAAAAAATTTTCTGTTTTAGCTTATCAGCAAGGTGCCTGCCTGCTGGAATGAACCAGATGTATCCAGACAAAGATAAAATGCTGAGGCTCGTATGTGAGTCAAAGGCACAGATCAAAGCAATGAGTGAAGATCCACACTAAAGCCAGCTTGAGACATTAAGTCAATCCTAGCTAAGCAAGTCATTAGTATCCTAGTGAAAAAGAATGGATAATAAACACCAGAACCATATTATCACTAGATACATATATTTAGACTTGAACTAAATATTTATAGTAGTAGTAGTCTGTTTACAACATGGATTCACCTTTCATAGATTTACTGCCTGTGTAAATTCCCATGATAAGGCAAGGTACTTGAATCATACCCTGAAAAGAGCACTGCTGGAGATTACCTCCCTCTTCCTCAGATTCTCCCTCTGTTTGTGCATGCTCTCTCTCTCTCTGAAATAAATAAAATTTAAATAAATAAATAGAGCAAAGAGATAGGAAAATATGTTCAAAAAGCAAAAGAAACAGGAGTCCACAGAACTAGATGATTGACAAAGAAGATATTAATAAAAACAAGCATATTATGGAAAATATCATCAAAACCAACATTTTTTTTAAAGACTGACAAAATTGAGCGGCACCTGGGTGGCTCAGTCAGTTAAGCATCCAGCTGTTGCTTTCAGCTCAAGTCATGATCTCAGGGTCATGAGAGTGAGCTCCCCGTCGGGCTCCATGCTTGTGGAGAGTCCACTTAGGATCCTCTCTCTCCCACTGCCCCCCCACCCGCTTGCACGTGCTCTCTCCCTGTCTCTCAATAAATAAATAAAATATTTTAAAAAGAAAAAGACTGATAAAATTGGCAAAATGTTTAGCAAAATGGACTTTAAAAAAAGGCAAAAGTTATTGATTGCAGGAATAAAAAAGGGCATATCAGTGTATCTTAGTTATTAAAAAATTATAGTTATATAACTTACAGTAATTAAAAAGATCATAAGAATTTATTCATGCCAATAGATTTTATGCCAATAGATTTTAAGCTTTAAAAGCAATATTATAAATTCTTCATGCCAATAGATTTTAAGATTTAAAAGCAATATTATAAATTCCTTAGAAAACACAAAATGTGAATACTCCCAAATCCATTATTATTGAATCTATCATTAAAATTTCTCTCACGAAGATACCCCAGGCCCATAAACTTCACCAATGAATCCTTACAAATATTTACAGAAAAAAATAACACCAATTTTACACAAAATCTCCCAGAGAATAGAAAAGAAAGTAATTTCCAACTTGCTTCTACCAGAATCTTCGCACATGCTCTTCTCCTTTCCTGGAATGTCTAACCACTCCCATATGGTTAATCCTTAAACCTCAGTTCAATTGTACTTTCCTACCTTTGAGTTGACATCCTTTAGATTTCAACTCAATCATCTTTCTTAATCTTTTTCTAGTATAACATCATTGAACAGTTACTGCAATGGCAATTTTTATTAATTTTGGATATCATTTAATTAATATGTACATCGCCCACTGAAGTCTTGATTCCATATAAGCGGGGACAACATGTGACTTTCCTCATGTAGTATCCCAAGTCCATAACACCATGCATGGACATGGTCAATAAATATTTGTTCACTGACTAAATGAAGAAAATGTAAGATTTTCTACTTATGGGGGTTATTGTTTGCATTAACTCATATAATAAATACTATGAAAGCATCTAAAATTTGTGCTTATGATCAATAATATTATTCTCCTAAACTTCCTTCCCTCTTCTACCTCCCCTGCTTTTTCTTTCTTTCTTTTTTCATACCCACTGGAAGCACAGAAAAGACATTGGCTGTGGGTCATATCTAAGTGTGAAACTTAATTACAACACTCATTCCTACATTTGGTCATGCTTCCAGTCAGTTGTTTTTTTTTTTAATATATATATATTTTTTTTAATTTCTTTTCAGTGTAACAGAATTCATTGTTTTTGCACCACACCCAGTGCTCCATGCAATACGTGCCCTCCTCAATACCCACCACCTGGCTCCCCCAACCTCCCACCCCCACCCCGAGAGGAGAAGGGAGTTGAGGGAAATTGGAGGGGGAGGTGAACCATGAGAGACTGTGGACTCTGAAAAACAATCTGAGGGTTTTGTCCAGTCAGTTTTTTTAAAAGCAGGTGATTCTTTCCATGTTCAGGATGACATGATTGTAATATACCACTAGGAAAGCATATGTCAGGTAATTCCAAGATTCATTGTACATATTCTCACCTGCATGCTTGCAGACAATTAATACAAATTTATTGAACTGAACTAACACGGGAGGGAACATGGTGAGTGAAGCAGCAATAGTTCCTGCCCATATGGTTCTTATATTCTAGTCAGGAACACAGACATTAAGAAAACATTCAGAGACATATTAGAGTATCCAATTATTATTTTCTTTTTTCCCCAATTATTATTCTCTATCACTTGCAGATGGAGGTGGTGAGGATACCATAAAAGAGCCAATGAACCATTATTATGTAGAAAGATCCCTTATGGATTTGTTTAGGCAGCAGATGCTATGAGACTGATGATAGGATTTATCTTCAGAACTCAGCCACTGAGGCATCTGGTGCTTACCCCCACCACCCCACCACAAGGAAGCTATTTGACAGAAGGTGACAGTGGCACTTCAGGCCAGATATTTTCCTATTACAGGTTTTGTGTGTTTTTCTCTATGACTGAGAATACTGAGATTATAGTTGCTTTCTTAATGCAAGTCATGTCTTAGTCACCAGTGGGTATTTGACCTTTTGGTTGCTATGGTGACAGTTGCTGTGACATTTATGCTGCCCAAAGGTGGTTAATAGCTTTTCTTTTGTTGAATGTCAATAAAGAGAGGGAAGTGGTTTTTTATTCCTTCGAACAATGCATTTAGCTTTGTTTTTACTAGACTGCAACAGACATGGCCTCTTTTTCAGAATCTAGTCTAAGATTTCAAATAATTATTCCTAATAGAACACCTGAGAATTAAATTTCCTCATTCACTGGGGAGGAAATAGAAGACAATTTCTGTATTTCCATTTCTTTTGTTAGTCTTTATAGCATATACCAAGCTGGCCACAGTTTTTCTCTTCTATTTGCATTTTTTCCCTCTTAGTGAGAAAGTGACATTCACAGCATTAAAGAGGCTGTACTTTCCAGGCATTAGCATAAAGAGCCATAGCAAATACTTTTGAGGACTCAGCCATCTGCTCCCTTACATCTGATGGGAGAAAGAAATCCCTGAAAAATAATTCATCGCAAAGCATAGTGAGAAGCATTTTTGTGTCTAGCTTTATTTCATAAAGAACAAATATAAACTCATAAGAGCTGAAGTGATATTCTAGTCGTGTGTTATATAGGTAATCTACTTTGTTTCCTACTGTATTTCTTGATTATATCTTATAAATGTTTTCAATAATTGAGATGGTATAAAGACCTTGAGAGAAAACATTATTTACGCACATATGTACACACACACACACACACACACACACACACTGTATTTTCTCTAAACGTCCAAGTTAGAAATCTTAAGACTTTGGGATTAGGTTATTTCCTGATATCTTACCCTAATTTTCCATCTACAGAACTCTGTGAAGTAGACTAACTCCCATTTTGCAAAGAGAAAACCAAAGCGGCGTAGCAGCTCGCGCATGCTCATATAGGTGTTCACAGCAGAAGCAAGATTCAAGTTCTACTCCCGATAGTTCTCAAAGCCCATTAGTTCCACTGCACTGTGGTTCATCTCTGGGGTAACAGACAAGTCCCGTTCTAGCATGGGGTGGTGTCTAGATGGTTCCTCCCCAGTCTTATCCCTCTCCAAAAATTACACAGGGTCTAGATATCAAACTTCAAAATGGACAAACTATGTTTTCCCTAAACTTCAATTTAGAAGTCTTAACCTATAACTTTGAGATTAGGTTATTTCCTGATATTTCATCCTAATTTTTCATCTATCCTTGGTTTTTATCTTTGGAATAGTTACTTATCTTTTTATGGCCAGTGAAGAAAATCATGGACTTTTATGTTTATTGAATTTTTGTGCAAAAAGTACGAAAATTAAATACACCAAGAATGTTCAAAACAAATAATTTTGCTGGTGATTTACTAAGTAGTTCTGGGTACCAAAAAAGGAAATCTGGTGAATTATTCTTTGGTAGTAGTATTAATCATGATTTTAATATGACTGATCTTTGGGTAATTAATGCTTTTGCACAAACTTCAATGTGGATTTGAAATGTGATGGAATTTGACTTACTACTAAGTCATTTAGGTTAAAAATATTCAAAAATAAAATATATTTCCCTGTGTGGTTTATAAAAACTACTCTCACTTCCTTTTCAAACCCCTTTGGAAAGTGAATAAATAATGTTTTTTTAATCCTCAAGTCACTATAATGAAAAGTTCCATTATTTCCAGCACAAATTAACAAATGTGACATGCTATTTTATAATCACAGATAGATAATGATAAAAATCCAGTACAACTTGACAAATATGGCATGTTGTAATTTACTTACAGATAGACGATGACTTTTGAAGGCAAGTCAGACATACCAGGAGACTGATCATGTGAAAGTCCTTAGCAAAGACAAATGATTCTAAGTATGAACTTCAGTGAATTTTTTTTTCTACAGGAATTTTGACATGAGTTGACTGAGAATAAAAGTAAAAGCAATAGGGCTTCAAGATGCTGGGCTACTTACAACATCAAAAGTTGTGAACTCCATGCCTAAGATGGTGCTGTGTTCCAGCACCTAACGTGGTTTTGAATAGTTGTCAGAGTAAGAATTTGTTGAGTGAATGGATTCCTCAGGAGTGGATACAGATGACAGCTACTTAGTGTATGTTTAATTCAACCTACTAAAGACGCAACATCGGGCTTTTGTTTCATTTTGGCTTTTTGTACCTTGAGCTGTGGCATAAAGAGAAGAGAAATAAGTCTTGAAAATTCAGAACTATATTATTCTTTTCTAAATTATGCCTCTGTAAATCCAAAGATTAATTTTTTTAAAGATTTTATTTATTCATTTGACAGAGAGAGAGCTCACAGATAGGCAGAGAGGCAGGCAGAGAGAGAGGAGGAAGCAGGCTCCCTGCCGAACAGAGAGCCCGATGCGGGGCTCGATCCCAGGACTCTGGGATCATGATCTGAGCCGAAGGCAGAGGCCTCATCCCACTGAGCCACCCAGGTGCCCCCAAAGATTAATTTTTTAAAGAGTTTATTTATTTATTTGAGAGAGCGCACGTGCAAGTGGTGGGGAGGGGCAGAGGCAGAAGCAGACTCTGCACTGAGTGGGGAGCCTAACATGGAGCTCAGTTGGGTTCAATCAGAGCTCAAACCTGGGACCCTGGGATCATGACCTGAGCCGAAGGCAGATATTTAACTGACAGCCACCCAGGCATGCTATAAATCCAAAGATTTAAATGAGTAAGTGCCTAGTGCTTTTTAGAGTAGTTTCTTCTTCCTGATGGTTGCAAGTTTTCAATCCCTGCTCTGAGGGGCATTGCTAAGTAGCTGTCATCTGTATCCACCTTGCAGACTGTCCTCTGATTAAAGAACCATTGGCCCATGTTCCTCTTTGTGCAAGGACACCTTGGGGGTTGAGAGTCTCTGACTTCTGGAGAGCAAGTATGTTTACATTTTGTATACACTTGATTCCTTTAGGAAGGAGGAGCACAAGTCATGTAGGAATGACTGTCACTGCCCATATCCAGCAGCTGTGTGGCCAACACGAAGCCCATTGCTTCAGGTGCACAGCTGTATGTTTCTGGTCTCAATAGGACAACCCTAGTTCCCTTCCTTGGCCTCCTTACTTTCCTTGATTCATTTCTTGCCCCAGCCCATGCTCAGTGCTTTTGTATGTTACCTTTCAAATTTCATCCTACTAAGGTGGCCATTCCCCCCAGGTTGCCTAGGGGAGTTCCATTTATGCCTATTGTCTGAGTATAATTATTGATACAGCCCTTTTCTACTTTAGACAACAAATTACATGGACATTCTGCTTTAGCACATATTAAACCTAAGTCTCGGGACTTATTATTTTTTTTTAAGATTTTATTTATTTATCTGACAGAGAGAGAGATCACAAGTAGTCAGAGAGGCAGGCAGAGAGAGAGAGGGAAGCAGGCTCCCTGCTGACCAGAGCCCAGTGTGGGGCTGGATCCCAGGACCCTGAGATCATGACCTGTGCTGATTGAAGGCAGAGGCTTAACCCACTGAGCCACCCAGGCACTCCTCAGGACTTATTTCTGATCAACTACTACCTATTTTCAAATTTAAGGTACAACATGAGATTTACATAATTCTTACTCTTCCCCTTTTTCCTCCCCTCAGGTTTTCAGTCTTTACATTTTAATTTTACCTGTATCACTCTGTTTTGCTCTATGCCCTGAGAGTACTTCCTAGCCATAGTCCTGAAATCAATTATAAGGAAATTTGTGTAGCTCTAACAATTATATACTTACAAAGCATTTAGAAATTCAGGACTGGCATTTAACATAATGTCATTCTGCAAAGACTGAGCTGTAAACAGTGGTGAGAGATGCCCTAGCCTGATTATTTTAAATGGGCTTATCGATAAGTAAGACAATAATTGTTTTAAATTGTTTTAAATAATTGTTTTTAAATAAATTGTTTTAAATTGTTTTAATTGTTTTAATTGTTTCCATAATAATTCAACCACAGTGTATGAGGTGCAGGCTCTGTTTGTGATGGACCTATCTCAAAACTTTAAACAGAGCCACCTTCTGCTAAAATCAAAAGTCAGCAATGTCAGTTTTCAACATCTGTGTAGCCCAAAGTAGTTTCCAGTGATTGTATCTCCAGTGTATCAGACCCTCTGTGAGGTCCCAGGAATTTCCACAGAGCACTCTTTGACAGAAAGTCTTAACCTAAATGGAGTAGGTCCACTGAAGGGAACTCAAGGATTTTGGAAGTCGGGTGGGCAGAGGCTTAGGGGGACTTTGGTGCACTTATCATCACATCGTGAGCAAGTAGCTTCTTCTTACTTCACCAGTTAATCCATTTGTCCCCAACCCTCACCATCACAGAGCTCCAAAACTGTGCTTAACTTGTTGGTTTTATTGAGCAAATTTATGTTGGACAATTTTTAAATCACCGGCCCTGAGGCATATCTTCTTTAAGTCCCAGCATCCTGTTGGTGAACAAGTTTCCACTGATGTAGACACTTCCTTCATACCTTTTCATAAATTCGAGTGCTCACAGTTTTATTCATGATATATTCCTAAAAGCAAAAAGGGATCTATTAAAGTTGGTGGATGACAGTTTCAACTTGCTCTGCCCCTTCTTCCCCAGACTCTCAATTCAGGACACACAGCCACTGAGGAACTCGAAAGGCATGCGTCAAACAGGAGTTTCTAAAAAATTCAATTTATTGAAAACTCACCACTACCATTTTTCCTTCTACAATTTGTCTTTTGATTGTTGTCTCTTTGCCAAGCCATTTTTGGACATGAATCATTGCGCCATTGTTTAATGTTATGATGCTCTGTAAATGCATAAAGGAATCAGTTAGGGATATCAATTCACTACACTCTGAACTACTGGAGACTAGACGTCTGTTTTTCATTTCTATTTTGACATTCTTTTCCTCCCAAATTCCCACCTCAGTTCTTATCATAATTTAATATCATCAAACTAGAGAAGTCTCAAGAGATTATTCAATTAATGCTCTTCTTCTCCAGACAAACAATACCTAAACTGTTTGTGAATGATTGTTCTCTTCTCTATACTCTTTAATACAGTGACAAAGAGAGATCAGAAAAAAAAAAAAAAAAGAAAACATGTCCAGGTTTTTGGCCCTGTTAACCATCAGCATAATTTGCAAAGGGGTTGGCTTTAGAGCTGTTCAATAGTAATTAACAAAACAAGCCCAAACTGACTTGGTCATTAATCAAGTTAGATATGTATGAACCATGCTCAATGACCTTCTAGGTTTTTGTTTGTTTGTTTTGTTTTGTTTTGTTTTGTTTTTCCTGGACTGTAGAACACCAGGAAGGCTTAGTGCTCACCTTTACTTGTCTGTTGTCCGCTGTGGTTTCATCAAACTCTTCCCCCAGTTTAAAGGAGATCTCAGTGTTCTTGAAGGAACTTTCTGTTTTGATGTTCACTTCATCCCCATTGGCACTTATACTGATTCTTGGCTTTGCTAACCCCGCCAGGTTCCGGGCTGCTGTGCTCATCCCTGTAAGGCAACACGCCTTCAGAAGACATTTAGGAAGTGCTAACGACCCTTTTGGAAAGCAATTTGAAGAGAATATATTCTTCCTCTGTTCAGGTTTTAGGTAATGTGTTGTAATTTCTTCAGTGCTCACTGTGATAGCGGGGTTGAGCCAAACAAGCCCATTCAGAAGGTATATCTAGTAATTACACTTGACATTTTGAAAAGCTAACTTCACTTTTTGAGGCTATTGTGCCTCACCTAAAATCTTCCAGACTCATGCTTCATCTAAAATGTGTATCTGTCTGGTACCTTTCAGGGGATCAGACCTCATTCCTTACCTCGTGGGGTGTTCTAACAACAGTGCAGAGGGTGTTATTATCCTCATTTTAGAGATGAGCACACAGTGTCCTAGAGACAGAGAGAGGCTTATTCTAGGTGATGTGTCTGTTAATCAGCAGAGCTACAGGTTTTCTAATAGTCTTAAGAATCATAGCAACTTAAAAAAATAAAAGCAAAATAAGAAATGTAATTTTCAGAGTATCTAAACTACTCTAAAAGATAATGACTTATAAAGTCCAAGCTCCAGAGTGTCAGGGTGGCTCCATCGGTTAAGCGTCCAACTCCTGATGTCAGCTCAGGTCATGATCTCGGGGTCATAGGATTGAGCAGGGTCCCTGCTCAGGGTGTCTGCTTGGGATTCTCTCCCTCTCTCTCAGGCCTTGCTCTGCTCTCTCATAAATAAATAAGTAAATAAATAAATAAATACATTCCTTAAAAAGGTAATAAAGTCCAAGCTCCTCTCTTATTTGTGGATTACATTCAGATCTGGCCAAGTAACGAGGAAGTAGGCAAACTGCACAATTTGGCTTAGAGCCTGGCCCTGTTGTTTAGGTTGGGGATGTCCCATTGTCAAACTTGATTCGTGTAATGGATAGGCGGAAGAGGTGAGTCCTCTCTCTCAGTATCAATATCGAACGCGATTTTACATTTACATTGTGGAACTGACAAGACACACCTGACTACAGAGAAGCAGTGATACCTGCAGGTCACAAAAGAGAGAAGAGCCGGACGGTTACCTGTGTGGGCTTTGTCACCTGTGAGTTCAAGCGTTATTTCCCTTCTCTAACCTTCAGATTTCTCAGTAGCGGAACATGAATGACCATGGTACTTGCCTCCTAGGTGTGCTGGGAGATGAAGTGAAAGGACTAACATGGCCATGGCACACAGTAGGCTTTCAGCTGTTAGTCTCTGCCTAAGCTCAGCTCCCAATCAAAACAGCTCTTGCCATAAGCCCAAAGTTTCTTAGATGGCCCTATATTTAAACTCAAAACAGGAGAGTCTATGAATCCATGAAGAAACAGGGAAACATGTTTCTTATAGCTCCCTGGGAAAGTTAATAGTGAGTATGAAAAAGGGACAAATGTTACATTATGCACACAGTGACTTGTTATGCATTGATCATTTCAGCCAAATTTAAAGAAAAAAATTCTTGGCTTTATATACAGTTTATTATTGCAAAGGAGACTTCTTTTAATTAAATATTAAAAATTACTTAACAAATATTAAATAATTACCATTTTCTAGCATTAGTGAGAACAGTTTAGTTGTTATAGGCCTGAGCCATTGTAATTGATGTTTATTCAACTTGAGTGTAGAGCTAAAGGGTGACAGGGTTTATACTTCTGAGAAATAGCCAATGGTGAGACATTCAATGAGCAAAAATGTTCCATTTCTCCAATAAAAAATTTGAAATTCTTCAAAATATTTTAAAAATATCTCCCCTATATATGAAGACTTTAAATATTAACCAACTAGAAATTTCATTTGTTGCTATTGTTCTTTTGAAGTCGTGACTTAAAACAAACCTTGAAACAAATTTAAATGATAAATTTAATTATAGATATTATTAGTATCTGTAAATTTGTCTTTTTTTAAAAAAGATTTTATTTATTTATTCGACAGAGATCACAGGTAGGCAGAGAGGCAGGCAGAGAGAGAGGGGGAGGCAGGCTCCCTGCTGAGCAGAGAGCCCGATGCAGGGCTTGATCCCAGGACCCTGGAATCATGACCTGAGCCGAAGGCAGAGGCTTTAACCCACTGAGCCATCCAGGAGCCCCACTATCTGTAAATTTGAAGCTAGGAAATGTTGTTAGTTGAAATGATGAAGGTAGAGAGGGCCTAGGATGAAGAAGTATTTTTAAAAAGGATAAATGGACTTAAATATACAGATAATGACTAGAAGAAAGTTTCTGTGAACCTTGTATTCTACGAAGAGACAGTTATAGCTAGTAACCAAAAAAATCAAAAGCAGACACACAAACCTTGTTAATCTTACATGACTATTTCCTAAGATCACAAAAGAGAGAATTGTAGGAAAATTCATTGTAAAATGCAAAACTATCCACATCACAAAATGTATTGTCAGTTTCCAAATCTCGTGATGGTATTTCTTACCCAATTGTTTCATGTATTCCTCAAAGTTTTCACTGGAGATCATCTTCCAGGTTCCCAAGAAGGGCTCAATCATGATGGAAAGCTTGCTGAACAGAGGCACTCACAACCAAAAGCCAAAGGAACTTAGGGAATGCAGGGCTGCCAGTACCTTTATTTAAAAGGCATCTTCATCATGTGACTTTTCTGCAATGACCAATGGGCAGCAGCAAGACCGAAGATTCTAGGTACCAGCATGACTCATTCTGTTTACCTCCAAATTGAGAAACAGAAAATCAACGTGTAAAATTGAATTTAAGTCAATGATTATAGCTTCTAGGAAAGAGATTTATACCCCCAAGTCACCTGATAAATATTATTTGTGGAATGGAGACAATTTTCAATACATCAGCCCTTTGAAATTTAAATGCTGAGTCAACTCCGAAGGAATATCCCAACAGATGTTCAATAAACTCCTGACTAAAGTTGTTTTCCCACCTGATAATAGAAGCACATCCTTGCTTGGTCCACCTCAGCTGGTTTTTGTTTGGACAGGTCATGGTTCCAGAGTACATTCTTCATTAAAATAATATCCTCCCCTCCCTTCCTTGCAGGCTTGATGAATTGATATTAATGTAACTGAAATGTCTTCAGTTGCTTGGAGTGAGGTATAGAGTATTATTAATATTATCATTATTGTTCATCAACAGTAATTGCCCACTGGGAAGAAAAGTAACAATTACCATTGGGTGCTGTTTTGTGATTTAAGCCCTAAAAAGGATGAGGAGCTAATGCTTGGAAAATTCATCTTTTAGGCTCACAAGGTAATCTTGATTATTAAAATACTCCTTGGGAAAAAAAAAAAAAAGATATCGTGGTGCCTGGGTGGCTCAGTGGGTTGCGCCTCTGCCTTCCACTCAGGTCATGATCTCAGGTCCTGGGATCGGCCCGGCACTGGGCTCTCTGTTTGGCAGAGAGCCTGCTTCCCCCGCCCCCCTTTCTGCCTGCTGCTCTGCCTACTTGTGATCTCTGTCAAATAAATAAATAAAATAAAATAAAAAAAGATATCACTTGAAATTGTGAGGGGAAGTTTTAGAGAGAAAAAGGGCATCTTGATATCTGCATTCTAAAAAGGCAAAGGCAGTAAAATTTAAATCTCTCTACAGTGACTTCTGAAATCATCTTCTGTAATGCACATAATATGGGCTTTGCAATTTTGCCTTTACTGAAAAGGATCAGATTCAGAGGCTCGAGATTTATAGCTCAGCTTTGAATTCCAGATGTTTTGAAGAAGACTGGAAAATTAGGCACCAGAAAAAGAATATTCATACGATATTCTGCCTGGGTCAAATATTTTTTCAATTCTGAGAAATACTTATTTAAATCATCTGTTTATGGAAAAAACAAACTTTAAAAAAGGTTGACATTTTGGCACCACAGTGTTATAACTTAAGTGGGATAAAGAATTTCTTTTGATGAAAACACATAGAGACGAAATTTACAATGCTGTATCTTTATAGATGTACTATGTGTGTGTGTGGGGGGGGTGGGCAGAACAGAGGAAACGAAAACCCCAGAATCAGTTTCAGGAAACTGAGACCTCTCCCCAAAGTAAGTGCCTTAACAGTTGAAAACATACTCAGAGGTGATGTTCAAATAAAGAACAAATGATCAGATCTTGCTTTACTGGTTCTAGATGTGTATTTACATTGTCTGCTTGAAAGATAGCAAGCCATGATGGCTATATACGTCTGCCAGTGGGTTAAGGTGACATTAGTGTAATCATCCTTGTTCCACTTTCCTTTCCATTGATTGATTCAGAAATCAACCCTGTGGTCCAGAATGCAGTTGTCCCATGAGACAAAAGGGAAAGTAAAACTTCTGGCCTCCATAAAATCCCTTGCCCCTAAAAGAAAGAGCCAGAGGGACGATTTCTCTTTTCCTCTGCACATTTTGCTTTTTTGTATGATATGTAAAACTGCTCCATCCACTGTGTTAACCAATTCAAAGATGAGACCAAAACTGAGGATGGCAGAGTGGAAAGTGTGGAGGAACTAAGACCATTTTATTTCTGGAATTTTGAATATATGGATTAATAAATTTCATTATTATTAAACATGTGTCTGAGTTTTTGTTATTTGCAGCTTAGGCCTTTGTAATTGATACACCTAAGTAAATAGTTTTGCCTACATGATCGATGTGGACCCTCAAAACAACCAAATACATGTATCATATGATATTGGCCTCATACACAGCAACGCCCACCTTTCCAGGTGCGACTCAAACATTTCCTTCTCTGGGAAACTGGCTCAGAGCTAATCGATCCCTAGTATGTAATACAATTATATTCCAACAGAAGTGTATTAGGGAACATTTCTCATAGTATTGCAACTAGTAATCTTCCAGCTGTCTTCTGAATTATTTTACAAGTGCATCAAACAAAGAAAACATTTCCTGCTCACCTCCAGATCCCTAAGACAGTGCCTGGTATATTATAGGTGGTCAATGAATGTTTTACGAATGAGTAACAAAACGAATAAGCAGTTTTATTTCATTTTAATTGACAGTTCCCCTCATTACTGATCTTAATCTCTCTGACAGTGACTATAGGCAAGCCTGTAATACACTGTTCTCTCCCAACTTGCTCATATGATAGGTCTTTCATTACAGTCATCAGATGGTGGAGGGATTCTCAGACTCCCTTTGTCTTTGCTCCGTGTCTCATTGTTACCATACAAGTCTCCCTTCTCGACTAATCAAGTGTTCTGCTAGGTCTGCCATTGTTACCACTAGCCTTTGGCCTTTTTCTTTGATTATTAAAACAAAACAAAACAGAACAAAATGAAAAAACACCATTTCCTCAAATAACAATTTTTCGGTTGAGAATGTTCTTAATTGCTAATCCTAGTGAAGGAACTGGAATACAATAATTTGTTATAGAACAGTCACACATCTTGTTTTCATGACAGTTACGATGCTTCTTTCTCCATTATCTCATTTTTATATGTTTCTCCAACATCTCACCTTCTATATTAACTCTTTTCTTGTGACATTTTTAAATATTAAGTCATTTTTGATAAGGCTTAATTTTGAGATGCCACATTCTTCCCTGGTGAGGAGTAGTGGTAAAAAGTAAAAATATACTGGCAGCTACAGCAGTATTCAGAAGTATGTCTGGTAACTTATTGCTGTACAGATACTGTTTTAGCCGGTGCCACACTAGATTTATTTTTTGTTGTAAAATACATGTAGCATGAAATCATCTGGACCATTTTAAAATGTGTAGTTCAGTGGCATTAAATGCTATTCACATTGTTGTATAACCATCACCACCATAGTTTCCAGAACTCTTTTCCTCTTGCAAAACTGAAACTCTGTACCTACTAAACAATAACCTGATTGTCCCCTTCTCCCAGCCCCTGGCAACCATTATTCTACTTTCTGTCTCTACAATTTTAACTGCTCTAAGTACCTCACATAAGTCGAATCATACAGTACTTTTTTTGTGTGATTGGCATATTTCACTCAGCATAAATTCCCTAGGTTTCATTCAAGTTGTACCATGTGTCAGAATACTTAATAATATTCCATTGTATGTAAATACCACGTCTTGCTTATCCATCTGTCAGTGGACCTTGAATTGCTTCTACATTTAATTATTGTAAATAATGTTGTTATGAATATGGGTACACAAATAGCTCTTTGAGACCCTGCAGAATTGCTGGATCACATAATTACATTTTTAATTTTTTGAGGAACAACCACACTGTTTTCTATAGTGGGTATATCATTTTACATTCCCATCAATGGTGCACAAGGGTTCCAATCTCTCAACATTTTCACCTACATGTTGTTTTGTTTTTAAGATTTATTTATTTATTTTAGAGAGAGCGAGTGGGTGAAGGGGCAGAGGGAGGAGGAGGAAAGAGAGAATCCCAAACAGACTCTACACTGAGCAAGGAGCTCAATGCAGGCCTTGATCCCTGGACCCCAAGATCATGACCTGAGCTGAGACCAAGATTTGGCTGCCCAACCAACTGAGCCACCCAGGTGCCCCTGGTTTGTTTTTTTTAATAGTTGCCATCTTAATGGATGTGACATGATATCTCAACGTAATTTTGATTTGCATAAACACTACTGATTGGTAGTGTTGAACATCTTTTCATGAACTTATTGGACATTTGTATATCTTCTTTGGAAAAATGTCTTTTCAAATCCTTTGCCCATTTTTGAATCAAGTTGCTTGTTTTATTTGTTATTGAGTTTTAGGAGCTCTCACTATATTCTATATATTAATTCCTTATCAGACATATGATTTGTAAATATTTTCTCCCAGTCTGTGAGTTAAGTTTTTACTCTGTTAATAGTATATATCAACATAATAGATAAACACAGAGTTTTAATTTTCATGAAGTCAGATTTGTCTATTTTTTCTTTTGTTGTCTGTGCCATTGGTTTCATGTTCAAGAAATCATTGCCAAATGCATTGTCATGAAGTTTTACCCTGTTTTCTTCTAAGAATTTTATAGTTTAAGGTCTCATATTTAGGTCATGGACCATTTAAGTTCATTTTTGCATAAGGTGTTAAGTAAGGGTCCAACTTCATTCTTTTGCATGTGATATCTTTTCCAGCACCCTCTGTTGAATACCATCCTTTACCCTTTGATGGGTACATTCACTGAAAATTATCTGACAGTGCATGTGAGGGTCTATTTCTGAACTTTCTATTCTATTCCATTAGTCTATATGTCTATTGTTATACCAGTACTACACTGTTTTGATTATAGTAGGTTTGTAGCAAGTTTTGAAATCAGGAAGTGTGAGTAAACCAGCTTTGTTCTTCTTCTTCTTCAGGATTTGGCTCCTTGTGGTCTCTAGATTCCATATGAATTTTAGAATGGGTTTTCTATTTCTGAAAAAAAAATGTCATTGGGATTTTGATAGGGATTCCATTAAATCTGTGGATCGCTCTGGGTAATACTAACATCTTAACAATATTAAGTCTTCCAATCTATGAACATGGGATATCCTTCCATTTATTTATGTCTTTTAAAAATTTCTTTTAGAAATGTTTTGTAGTTTTTATTGTATGAATATTTACCAAAAGTTAATTCCCTTAATTAAGTTAATCCTTACATATTTTATTCTTTTTGCTGCTATTTTAATGGAGATGTTTTCTTAATTTACTTCTCAGGTTGTTCATCATTAGTGCATAGAAACACACCATTTTTTGTGTGTTGATGTTGTATCCTACTGCTTTGCTGAATTCATTTATTCTAATAGGTTTTTTCAGGTGGGTGGAATCTCTAGGGTTTTCTTCATATAAGATCATACCATCTGGGAACAGAAATAATTTTACTTCTTCTTTTTCAGCTTGAATATCTTTTTTTTTTTTTTTTTTTTTGCCTAATTACTCTGACTAGTACTTCCGGTAACATAGTAAATAGAAATAGAAGAAGCTGACACCTCTGTCTCATTCCTGGTTATAGAAGAAGAGCTTTTAGTTTTCACTATTGAGTTTAATATTCAATGAGGAGTTTTCATACTTGGTTTTTGTTATGTTAAGATAGTATCCTACTATTTCTAGTCCATTGAATGTTTTTACATGAAAGAGTACTGAATTTTGTCAAATGCCTTCCCGGAATCACTTGAGATGACCATAGAGTTCTTCCCCCTTCCTGTGATAATGCAGTATATTACATTGACTGCTGTATGTTGAACTATGCTTGCATTCCCAGAATAAATTCCAATTAGTCATGGTGTATAATCCCTTTAATATGCTGCTGAATTCTGTTTGCTAGAATTTTGTTAAGTATTTTTGCCTCAAAATTTACATGGGATATTGCTCTCTAATTTTTTTCAAATATCTTGGTCTGAATTTGGTATCTGGGTAATATGGCTTTACAAAATGAATTAGAGAGTCTTCCTTTTTCTTCAGGTTTTTGCTTTTGTTTTTGTTGTTGTTGTTGTTGTTTTGTTTGTTTGTTTTGAAGAGTTTGAGAAGGATTGGCATTAGTTCTTCTTTAATTTGGCAGAGTTCACCAGGTGAACAATTAGCCTCCAGGACTTTTTTTTTTTTTTTAAGATTTTATTTATTTATTTGACAGACAGAGATCACAAGTAGGCAGAGAAGCAGGCAGAGAGAGAGGAGGAAGTAGGCTCCCTTCCAAGCAGAGAGCCCGATGCAAGGCTCGATCCCAGGATTCTGGGATCATGACCCAAGCCGAAGGCAGAGGCTTTAAGCCACTGGGCCATCCAGGCGCCCCCAGGACTTTTTTTTATCAGATATTTTGTTACAGACTCAGTCCCTTTATTAGTTATAGGTCTATTCAGAGTTCCTATTTCTTCATGATTAGTCTTAGTAGGTTTTGTATTTCCAGGAATTTGTTCATTTCATCTAGGTTATCTAATTTGTTGGTATACAGTAGTGTTCTCTAATCTTTTCTATTTCTGTAGAGTCAGTAGTAATGTCGCTAGTTTCATTTTGATTTTAGTAATTTGAGTCTTCTTTTTTTCTTAGTCCAGCTAGCTAAATTTTGTTGCTCTTTTGAAAAACCAAATTTTGGTTTGGTTTATTTTCTCTCTTGTTTTTCTATTTTCTATTTCATTCATTTGCTCTGATCTTTATTACCTCCTCCTGCTAGCTTTGGGACATTTTTTTCTTGTTTTTCAAGTTTCTTTTTCAACATCTCACTAACTAGAGAGATGGTCATTAACAAGCTATCCAAGTGCTGTGCCTCACTCCTTCACCAGCCATTTCCTGTACCCATACAGTCTGGCTAGGAGTGCTATAAATACATTGCTTAAGAGCTAGACCCCAAAGATTTAAAAAACAAAACAAAACAAAACAAAACAAAAACAACCCCACTACCTGACGGCCATCTTGGAGGTTTACGCGTTCCAACTCAAGACTTCACAATCTATTTTTCCCTTCAGGAACAATGCACCTGAGAAATAACTTTCACAAGTGCTCTTGAGTAATTTTCATGTACAAGTGATAACCTCTTTCTCTCCCATTCAAGAAAGCAAATAGAACAGTTTGAGGAAAAAAAAAATAATACTTTACAAGTTAATGCTGAATTTAAGTAAGTAATTTATTTTTTAAAGTAAAGTAATTTTTATTTTTTATTTATTTTTTTATTTTTTAAATTTTTATTTATTTTATTTTTTAAAAGTAAAATAATTCATAAATTTTTGTACTTATTATGGGTGGTAACTTATTTTGACCTACCACACAACGGTTCAAGTCACAGTAATACCCTGGGTGAAAATCACTATTCTAAGCAGGCTAGGTCACCTGTTCAAAACTGAGGCATAATTTTCAAAGAAAAATTTAAGTCAGTAATGCTTTGGGCTTTGGAAGAAGTATTTCTAAGTCAGAAATTTTAGTTTAGTGATGGTCATGGTGGAATTGGAGAAAAGAAAGGATATGCTGGCCTATCGTGTTGTCTGAGCCTCACAGTTTCCAAAGACTAAGTGAATAGCTTTTGAACCTTTCATATCCACTTCAAGATATAGATTGACTCTATATCCACACATCTGTTTTTCCGAGAAGTATCCTCTTGATCCTATCTCTCTTCCTTTAAGTGTAGAATTATCTCTATGTCTATATATATATATATAAGCAATGTCAGACAATGGAAAATTCTTTGAGCTTCAAAGAAGTCCCAGGCAGGATAAATTTGAGAACTGATACTCAAGGTTTTCTATTGTGTCTATGGCCTTAGTTTTATGAAAATATAGAAGGAAGAAATCAACTTATCTAGCAAATTTACATTGGACTGGATCTTCTTACTCTGTGCTTCCATACCATCTGAAAAATAAGAATTAAACTTGAAGAGGAAATTTTCAAAAATAACTAGATCCACAAATACACATAATTAGAAGTGGCACCAAATGCAACTTTGTGAAGGGACCATTAAGGGATGAGGAAGTTTCAGGATGAGGGAAGGGAGAATTCTAGACAGAAAGAAGTAGAACACACATGCAACTAGAGGCAAAAAAAAAAAAAAAGAAAAAGAAAGAAAGAAAATTGCTTGGTATGATTGAAACAAGATGTGTAAAGACAGGAGCAATGATAAAACCAGAGAGATGAGAAAAAGCAAGCATAAGACAAATATGAATGCCATGTGTGGAGATTGGACCTTCTCTGGTTACAATGGGTGCCACTTAAAGGTTTTCATCAGTGTGTGTCCAGGTCAAATTTTTATTGTGTAACTATCATTTATGAAGTCTACAGGGCTTGGAAAAGAGAAGAGAGAATGGACAGTAAAAGGGGGAGATTTATTAGGAGAGCCCTAAAGTAACTTAAAAAAATGTTTGGTGGTATTGGCAATGGGAATGAGAAAAGCAAACATTAAAGAAATTTTAATAGATGATTTTTTAAAAATAAAGTAGATGCTGTCGAGTGAAGAAGAAGGCATAGTCAATGATGATTTTAAGATTTATGGAATGAGCAATTAGACAAAACATCCTGACATTCACTGAGCTTTGGAAAATAGGATGCTGAACAAGTTTGAGGGAGTGGGTCGAAGGTGGCAGCAATAACAAGTTAGTGTAGAATATGTTGGGTTGAGGTGGCTGGGACATCCACTTGGTCCCCTTCAAGTCTTTCTTTTTTCTAAGTCTCCCTTATCCTTGGATAATCTTATCACCATTTATGAATTAAATTACCACTGGGATACTGATGGCTCCTAAATGTATATCCCAGCCACTGTTGCTTTCTTGAATTTCAGATTTTATGTCTATTCCCTATTTAGCTTTATACACTTAAACTCTAAACCTCTGTTTCCTCATCTCTGAACAGGAATACTAAAATCTCCTTATAGGATTATTTTGATGATAAATGAAGTAAAGCATGCAAAGTGCCTGGGATGGAAGTAAGTGCTTAATAAATACTGGTTCATTAAGAATTGTCCTAATCAGTCCCTAAAAGTCTTCTCTTTCGGAGTTCTTCAATCCTCCAGCTAGCCCAAAGTGAAAGTATGACTCTCTGTTTTTGCAAAGAAGGTAAATTCTCATGAATAGGATCTTATTTCATCTCTTCTGACCTTTTCATATATTGGTGTTGTGCATAAAATAACTATTCAGAAAATAATGGACTTATTTTTAAAGGAAGCATAACAAGCAGAATTATAGCAATTGCAGCACACTAACAGACTTCAGCTAACTATAAAATACAAGTATATAGTTTAGAAATTTTAATCTATGTGTGTGGAACTCCAGTAATTTCTAGAGTAGCTTCAGAGTTTCCACAAAAGGCAGAAGAATCCTCTTTCTCTAACACACACACACACACACACACACACACACACACACACACTCCTCCATTTGGGAAGCCTGCTTATCATTTTTGTCAATTTTTTTTTTTAATTTGGGATTCCATGGAGATTTTATTTGAATAAAAAGTTCTGGAATATACTCAATATTTTCCTTAATAAAAAAGTTCCCTAGTAGAAATAAAAATTTTGGAAACCACTATAAAGAACATTTTCATCTTACTCATTAAAAGTTGTTCTTTTCTGGAAAGAACATTATGGGATTATTTGCACTTAATTTTTGAGAGATTCCAGTGATAGCTTGGTTTACCAATAATTTTTCAGACTAAAATTTATTGTTCTGCAACAATGTATTGCTGCTCCTTTTCTCAGTGCTCCAGGACAGGGAGGTGTGAAATGGCAGGATTCGGCCCACCTGGCTGCGGGCCACTCCACTACATTTAAAACTACCTTAGGTCTGTGAGAGATAGTTACTTGACTGTAAACATGCTTCGGGAGGACTGCATATTCAGTAATGACAAATTTATCATCTCTTACCTAAGACAGTGGAAAATTCATGAATATTTATTTTTTGCCTTGGATTACCATGAAAAATCATATGACTTCCATGAGAAACAAAACAAAAACACAGTTTTCTATTTCCTTCATTGGATTATGAGTAAGAAATGATCCAGCACAATAAATCATTACATCACCTTCTAAACCTAAAAAGTTTTATTTAACGAACACATCCACATTGAATAAAATCAGTTTGGGGTAAATTAGTTGCTTGCTAATTAGTAGAAAATAACAATATATGTTTGGACAATATATCCAATGGAAGTTCGATGCAAACTTCAGCTCGCTGTTCCTTGAATTATGCTCTCTCATAAATTCTGGTAGAAGTAACACCTTTCATGACACATTCCTAGACACACAAAAAAATTTCTTGGTCAAACACAGGACTAAATCTTGGGTTATTTATTGTCTCCTTTAATATTGGGAAGGAAAGTGTTTATTTGAAAATATTCATTCTGGTATCCTATATATACTTGATAGTATAGTAAGTTAGGGAGATATAAAGGCCTGAGAAAACACAAGGAGCTTTATAATGTATAAGGTGAGTAAGAAATATAACCAGAAATGCATCATTCCATAGGGTATGTGCTGAGAGCAGTAACAGAATGCTTCTTGGGGGACAGCACACCTCGACTGAACATAAAAGCATGAAGGGCAATTGCCAGAGTGAAACCATAATCCCAATGGAATCATCTTTTTTGTTCTATGTAAGCAGGCATGACTGTCTGTTTCTTTAGGTAGAATAGTGATTATAAGGTGACCTAGCAGTAGAGTCTAGAATTAAGCAACTAGAAGAAACTCACCACTACCAGTTTATCGTCCACTCGTTTTCTCTTTATGGTGGTTGATTTCCCATCCCACTTCTGCACCTGTACCAGGACACCTCCATCTAAGGTTATGATGCTCTGTGAACACAATAAAGAATGATTACCACTGATACATGGTAGAGGAAAACAAAATAAAAAATACATCACTTTTGAATGAAGGAATATTTTGAGGTCATTAGTCATTCTAAATTGTAAGGATATACTAAAACAAAAAAAAATGAGTGTCAAAAACAATAGCATACAAAGAATACATTTTGATCAGAATATTATACAGAAACACATACTTGAAATAATACTATAAAATATAGATAATAAATGTTGAGATGATAATCTTATAGGTAGTTTTTCCTGTTTTTGCTTCCACTCTTTCATAAACATTCTCTAACATTGTTGTTATTTTAATTCACTTCAAATCTATATATTGCATGACAAATTGTATTAATCACTTTTATAAAAGAATAAAGACAACTTTATAGGAAGGAGAAGATTCACCAACTAAATATCAAAGTCAACATGGTTTAAATCTAGGAAGTCAGGGATCTTTGACCTGTGATAGAATAGTTTCCCCTCCTTTTATACAAAATGGCTTCTTATGGGCAGCAGTCTTCTAGAAACCATGCTTTTATTCTGCTCCAATTCCTTCTTCCTCACCTTGACTTTTCTGTCATCTGCAGTAACTTCCTCAAATTCCTGGCCCAGTTTGAAGGAAATCTCAGTGTTTTTAAAGGTGCTTTCTGATTTAATGGTGATCACATCCCCATTCACACTGATGATCATGTTGGGTTTGGCCATGCCAGCCACTTTTCTAGTGGCAAAGCCCACCCCTACAGTTGGAAAAAGAAAAAACAAGATGTCAAGTTCACAATTTTCCTCCACATGTTTAATGAAGTCAGAGCTGCAGTTTGTGTGTGTGTTTGTGTGTGTGTGTAGGTGGGTTAGTGTGTATAGGTGGGTGTGTGTGCATAAAAGGAAAAAAGACGCCAGTGAGTTTCGTAAAAGCCTCATAAAATAACAGCTCCAAGTAAGTAATGCAGGCTAATATTAAAAGAAACCCATGGCATGATTAAGTGTAGGTCTATCTAAATTTCTTCTTCTGGGTTTCAGATACAACTCCATAGAAGACACATCATTAATCTTGAAAAAGATTAAGACTTCTGGAATATAAGTCTTCTGGAATACATATATATATATATATATATATATATATATATATATATATACACACACACACACACACACACACATATATACATATATATATATATATATATATATATATATATATATATATATATATATCTCAAACCAACTGGCCATCTCAATCATTAGGGCAGCAACTATCATTTTACTCAACTCATGAACCACTTGGGTCACTTCGACCTTTCCTTTTTAGAAAACAAAAATCCATAATCAAAGACAGAATTCTCAGTAGGATTTTGAAAATGAATATAGAGTTACTCCATTTAAAAAAATAATCTGTTTGGGTGTACAAAAGTCACACTTCATGGCATGTGTTGCCAAGTCCTATTTTCCTGGCTTTTCCAAATCACTACAAAATGAAGATTTTGATTAATTTCTCCAAAAGGCACAATTTTAAAGAAACACTATTTTAGTAAGTTTCAAATTCAATACTTTGGTTCTCATCACCTCAGCTGCAATCCCCTTTTTTAAAAAAGGAAATTATGGGGATGTAAGTAACGGAAAGGATGAACAATTTACAACTTAATGTAGACAGTGGGAACTCACTGTCACTGTGTGTATTATACAGAATTTGTGACAGTTGTGGATGTGTTGAATTTTTTAACACATGTATATAAACCTCAGCTACTTATTTTATTAAAGTCTACTTATCTGTACCAAAGGTTAGATATAGGGGGTAAGAGGGAGAGAAATACTGTACAAGCAAGTCATGCTGAGGCTCTTTTTTAGCTCCCTGTCTGGAAAATGGCTGCAGGTGGAAAGATACATCGCTTCATCAAGTCTTGGCTCTGTTACAAAATATAACTTCACATACATGGAGTGAGTCAGTATAATGAATGGATGCAACATCAAGTATAATTCCAGACTGGCTGACCTTAGGAAAAATTACAATCTCCACAGTCCTTCTCTGACTGGCGAAACTAATACCTGCTTCCTGATCATCAGTTAGAACAACTAATTCCAGCAGCTATCTTAATGTCTTTCATTATCACTAGTGCTTTATAATTTAAAACATAGTGGCATAAGAATTTAAAGATACATGTTGAAAGTGTAAAATGTTCCTAAGAATCAAGAGCAAAATAGCCTCAAATCCTGACATTTCTGTATCAGCACATATGTATTATTTTATTGAATCACGACTAGTCGATAGTCTAGAAAGTTAGATCTCACTTATGCTGAAGTCCCTAAATGCCCTCCTGTCTATAAAGAAGGAAAATAGCAGTACTTACAGAAGAGGGAAAAATATATATACTATGTGATTTAGGGAAAGGTGAAGTCTTAAGACAGATTAAATCCTAACCCCTGTAAGAACACCCCCCCCCCAAATTGCTACCCCTGGATACCACCTTATCATTCATAGAGGTGTGAGGAAGAGGGGATTTCAAGGTAGAAGCTGTCTCAGTGAGAACCAGTCCTCACCCCCTTGCTTTACCACAGTGATTATCCACAGAATGTTCACACAACACAATGGCAATACTAGCAGAATCTAGAAGCCCGAAAGCCTCCATTATCAAGTAGGAATTATGTTATGGATAGAACATTGTCCTTTTGACTTGATAATCCTATGGCATCCCATGTAATTCCTAGTCAAAAAAATATTTAACCCCTTAAAGTGACAGATTTCCTGAAATTGAGATTTTTGCTCCGATAAAACAACCATACATTTTAACAGATTGACAGTTGAGAAAATAAAATAATTAATAGATGTTTACTCTAAAATTACATTAAAAAGAGAAATACAGTGCTTTCAGCTTCAAATAGAAATTACTGACTCTTAGGAAATAAATATAGTCTTATTTATTTTATATGCAAGAGAGAATGAGCAACAGGCAAAGAGCCAAGTAAAACAAAGGTACCCCAGTTTAGCAGTGAAATAAAATCTTATCATTTCTGTGGACCATAAAAATTCTAGTCAGACCCTTTTTCATATTGGCTCACCTATAGGAAAGCATCAGTTGTGACTTTGGTCTCGAAAGTTTCTCCAGACAAATGATTCTCACTTGCTATTTTTATAGCCTCTGTATAGAAAGCAGCATTTCCTATCTGGCTAATACTTCCAGAATGAAAAGCAGCCATAAACCTTCTTCCCCCAGAGAAAAAGGTATAAATCCAGTCACCCCACAGCAGAGTTTCTTACCCACTTCTTTCATGTAATCATCAAAGTTTTCACTGGAGGTAAGTTTCCAGGTACCCACAAAGGCATCACACATTTTATGAACTTTCTAGGATTATCTTCAAGATGAGGAAAAAAGCTGTAGCTCTCAGGAAGGTGCTATGACCTTCTTGAATCCAGATAACTTCCTTTTAAAGATGCCCAGATCATGTGATCTTAGGAATAACCAATTGGGGATGGTATCAGATCATTTCCTTCATTACCAGCCTCTGCAATTTTTCCTCTGAGTCATGTTTTTAACAGAAATTTCTCAACTTTGATTCTCTCTGGCAAATGGTCAGACTTAGAGTACAAATTATTTTTCAGCATTCAAAACATATTTTCAGCATTCCTATTTTGACTTTACTGCCCAGTGCATTGAATTTGTACCTACTATTTCCATACATATTTATCCCAGTGTAGAGTAAGATAATTATCCTTGGATGAACCTTGACCCTCTTTTCTGAAGTTTCTATTAACATTGCAGTTATGTGGTTCTTTGGAATTGAGGAACATAAGAATTATTTTACGGACTCTTCAGTAATTGCAAAGGCTCTTTGGGACAACACTGTCTTGGGAATTATTTGCCAACTAAAACAAAATAAATAATGGCATCTTAAAGTACCTTAGTTTTCTCATTTCAAATGTTGTGCATGAGTGAAAAGGAAATTATCCATCAGGAATCTGTCAGTTTAGTTAGTAATGATTTAATCTCATTCTTTTCATCCCTTTAATGAGAACATAGTATTTCTTTCCATAGTATTGTGGCCTTAAAAAAAATAAGCCCCCTTCCAAAATATGCTCCCCATACTGAGCAAATCCATCCAGATCCTGAACTATGTTATTAGGAGCTCAAAATTTATCCAGAGCTAAATGGTGTTGCTTTATTTGAAAATGATCAGTGGTGGTGGCCACACACTATCAAAATTTTATTTCCTTCTTTTATGTAGTGAATAATTCGTGAGATTACTTTCTTAAAGTATTCCTGTCTTTCAGTCTCCTCCTACCCCACACCAGAACAACTGAAGATGTTCATATGTGCATCAAACTGCCATGAACATATACAGATTTTAGAAAAGAAAAAAGCAATAAAAATACTCTATCGTGATGAATCCCTACACTGTATACCTCTCTGAGTAGCAGCTGCGGCACACACGATTGATTCACAGACTCCTGTAGGTATCCTGAGGGCTCCCCAGAAACGTTTGAGGTAGAGGATTCTATAAAAGTCAGGTTTTTCTGTAGGCAAACAAGTTGCTATAAAGGCCTGATAAAGTCATGTTACAATAGTAAGTGTTAATTGTTGCATTTGTTAATGGCACGGTAATAATGTCCATCCACTCTGGACGGTTGCATAGATACGTGGACTATGGGTGATGTACCATTCCGGGTAGACTTGCTATTAAAAATTCATCTGTTTCCCACTGAACAAGCAAATAAAAATGATCGAACTTAATAACTTGACAATGTTCTCAATTAATAATGGTTGGGTTTTTTTTGTTTTGTTTTGGATAGGTTTGGGTTTATCTTTTTTAAGATTTTCTTAAGAGAAGTTTTAGGTTTACAACAAAATTGAGAAGAAGGTACAGAGATTTCTCATGTACTTCCTGCCCCCACACATTCACAGCCTCCCCCATGATCAACATCACTCACATTTTTTAACCGAGGATGAACCTACGTTGACAGATCATAATCACCCCAAATCTATACTTTATGTTAAGATTCACTTTTGATGTACATTCTGTGTGTTTGGACAAAGTATAATGATGTGTATCCTTCATTATGATATCATAGAGCATTTTCACAGCCCTAAGCATTCTCTGGGCTCTGCCTGTTCACCTCCTTCCCACATCCCTAAGCCCCCAACCTGTGCAAGCACTGTAGTTTTTACTGTCTCCATCATCCTGCCTTTTCCAGAATATAGTTGTGTATGTGGCCTTTTTAGATCGGTTTCTTTTACTTAGTAATATGCATTTAAGTTTCCTCCATGTCTTTTCATGGCTTCATAACTCATTTCTCATTAGTGCTGAAAAATATTCCATTGTCTAGACATACTATAGTTTATGTCATTCATCTACTGAAGGACAATTTGATTGTTCCCAACACTTGGCAGTTATGAATAAAGCTGCTATGCATATCCACATGCAGGTTCTTATATGCACATAATTTTTCACCTTCTTTAGGTAAATACTAAGGAGCATGATATAGTGAGAGTATGTTTCATTTTGTAAGGAACCACCAAACTGTCTTTCAAAGTGGCTGTGACATTTTGCATTCCCGAGAGCCATGAGTGAGAGCTATGTTGCTCCACATCCTCACTAGTGTTTGATGGTGTCAGCGGTCCGGATTTTGGCCATTCTAACAGGTGTGGAGTGTCAGCCCTCCGCTGTTTTGGTTTGCGTTTTCCTGGTGGCGTATGATGGGGAGCATCTTTTCATATGCTTATTTGCCATCTGTACATCTTATATGGTCAGGTGTCTGTTAAGGTGTTTGACTCATTTTTAATGGGTTTGTTTGTTTTCTTATTGTTGAGCTTTAACAGTTCTTTGTATATTTTGGATAATAGTCCCTTATCACGTATATTTTTTGGCAGATATTTTCTCCAGCCTCCTGAACAATGGTTTACTTTTTAAAATATATGGTGATGCTTTCCCTTTAGTAACAAATTGCTTCAGACAGATTTTCAAATGATTATCACTCTTAAACACTGTAGCACGTGTATTTTAACACTGCAATTTAAACATTTTTTTTTTTTAGAGATGGACTGCCCAAATGCTATAGTCTTTAGTCACATGTGGTGCCTGAATACTTGGAATGTGGCTAGTATGACTCAGAAACGGAATTATTAATTGTATTTACTTCTAATTAAAATTTAAGAAATTATCCTCATACAGTTACTGGGAAACTTTTAAAATTTGTGGGAGAACCTGAATATGTGAATCTACTCTTCCAATTATAGAACCTAAATTTGATGAAATCTAAATGTCAGTCAAGTATTTAAAAAGAAAACTTAAAATCTGAGTTGGGATGTACTAATAGGAGAAAATGCACACTGAACTTTGAGGACAATATAAAAAAGTACAATATCTCATTGAAAATTCTTGCACTGATTATATAAACTATGAAATGTTGAAATTATGACATTTTTGGTATATTGGATTAAGTAAAATACATTACTAAAATTACTAAATTATTAAAATTAGTTAAATTAATTAATTTAATGTTTCTTTATCAATTTCTTAACCTGGCTATTAGAAAATTTGAGATTACACATGTGACTCCATTATGTTTCTATTGAGTAGCACTATTTTACACTCCCATAGTGACATCAAGGTTTCTTTGTTTATTCAGCGTGTGTCAAACGCTTTGCCAGCCACTGGGGATTCAATATGGGGAAACTTACCAGGCACTTGCTGGCTCTCACAGAGCTTACCTTCTAGTTCTGGAGAAGATAATACACAAGGAGAGAAATAAACCAACATCAAGTAGTGATTTTCGAGAAAACAGAACAAGGATCTGATGTAACAACCGCTCCAAGGGTTGGCAACACTAAATGGGCAGTTCAGGGAGGTCAGTCAAAGGAGGTAGACAATGAAGCTGAAACCTAGAGGGTGAGAAGAAAACAGTCATGGAAAGATGAGACAAAAGATGTTCCAGCCACAGGGAACAGCGGGAGTTTGCGGATTCCATTCTTGTTCGTGACAATTTCACCTCAGCATGACCACAACACTAACCTATGACACGTATAGACATATAGCCCTATAAAACCATGACAAAAGTACAGATATATGTTCCTGGTGAAGAGTCCAAACTCCATTAAGGCAGGAGTTTTCATGGTGATTATTTACTGGAATATACCCAATAACTGAGTATTCAATAAAATTGAATTGAAAGTCCAATAAAACTCCTGTAAAATTACCTCAGGAGTATTTCCATGGGCCAGTATCCTCATGTTCCTATGTTAACATATTTAATGTCTGAACATTGCTGGAGAAATGGTATATTGAAATTTTTAGAAACAACACTGGATCCTTTAATAATTTTCTATCAACAAAAATAGTAACCTATAGTATAGGAACTTGATAACATAAATATCAATGAAAGAATAAATATATAAGAAAGTTTTTGGGTTACATGAAAAAATTTCATGTTATCAGTTGTGTGGAGTAACAAAATAAGATTACTAGACTTATTTAAGGGGATTGTGTCTTTAAAAGCAGTTCAGTTTATATTCCAAACACATGGGCCACCCTGTGGAAGGCTAATATTCTAGGAACAAGTCCACTAAGTTATGTATCATATAAGGCAGAGATTTCCCTCAAACAAGAGGCTTTCCAGAAATTATTTCTATGTTTTTTATTTTAATTCCAGTATAGTTAATGGACAGTGTTATATTAGTTTCAGGTGTACAATATAGAGATTTAATAATTCTACACATTACTCAATGCTCATCATGATCAAGGGACTCTTTAATCCCCATCACCTATTTCACTCACAACCCCCCACCCGTCTCCCCCTCCAGTAACTATCACTTTGTTCTCTATAGTTAAGAGTCTATTTCTTGGTTTGTCTCTTTTTCCATTTAGTTCATTTGTTTTATTTCTTAAATTCCACATATGAGTGAAATCATGTGGTATTTGTCTTTCTCTGACTTATTTTGCTTGGCATTATACCCCTCCCAACTCTATCCATGTTGTTGCAAACAGCAAGATTTCATTCTTTTCTATGGCTGAGTAATATTCCATTATATATACCACATCTTCTCTATTCCTCTATTGATGGACACTGGGCAGCATCCATAATCTGGCTATTGTAAATAATGCTGCAATAAACATAGAGGTGCATATATTTTTTAATTAGTGTTTTTATAATTTTTCTGTAAATACCTAGTAGCATGATTTACTGGACCATAAGGTAATTCTATTTATTTTTTAATTTTTTGAGCAACCTCCATACTGTTTTCCACAGTGTCTGCACTGGTTTGCATGGCCACCAGCAGTGCACCAGAGTTTCTCCATCTCCATATTCTTACCAACATGTTCTTTCCTATGTTTTTGATTTTAACTATTCTGACAGGTGTGGGGTGATATCTCACTGTAGTTTTGACTTGCATTTCCCTGATGATGAAT